AAATCAGAAGCAAAAGCCATATCCCATCTCACCGCTCACTAAGTATCCAATGGCCTTGGTCTTCACCTCCTCACTCAGCTGCTCTGTCTTGTTCAGATAGTTCAGGACGTAGATGTTGGGTGCAAACAGGACCATGTTCTGCTCCCCACAGCCAAATGGCATCTGGAGGAGCTGGTGCAGGTTCTGCATAGCAGTGCCCATGATGTCACCTGGGAAGCAGGAGATACCAGAGGGATGTTTAAAATACTTAGGGTTGGCTATCAAAATAAGAGGAAGCTGAATGAGAGATATCAGAGAATAACAAAAGACAATTAAGATTGATAAAGATCCTGGAACAAAACACAGAACAGCAAAAGAAAAGAGGGAAATGAGATAAAGGTTAGGGCATTGTGAGAACACTGAGAAACAGGGTATGCAGAAAGGGGAAAAGGAAGAGCTGGAAGGGAAAGTACTCAAGACAGAAGAGATTAAAGACAAGAGTGAGCCATGCTAGAGAACAGAACTAAAAGTTGAGAGGCAAGAGGCCAACACAAAGGGGCAGAAACAGCACATGGTTCTTCTGCTAAGCTATTCACTCACCCAGCACTGAGAAATATGCTCTGCCTGAGTCTTGTACCACATTTACGGGTAGCATCAGGGAAAACTTCTCTTTCACAGGCACTCCTGAGAAAGAAACAAGACCCAAACAGCTTCAGTAAGGTTCCAAGAGATGCCTAATGGAAGGGGAGGAGGCCTCCATGAAACATTTCCTATCAGATATGCCCTGACTTCAGTAACTTGGTATTTTCCTTGCTATAACATGATCTCTGCATGCAACCACTCCCAAGCACTTTTAGTTGCTGTAGATCATGTGTCTACAGCTTTTTCCTGGCTGCACTAGAAAACAAGAGACAGCATTTGAGACTCCAAGGTCAGCAGTCGAGGGAACAGGGATGCAAACATTCATCCTCAACCTGTCCTAGCTCCCTATGATGCTTAAGCAGGATGGTCCATACTTTAGGACTTCGTTCTGTCTCATGTCTCAGACTCCCAACTGAAGTGGCATGTTTTGATTACACAAAAATATCAGACTATCTAGACTATAATAGAAGGAGGCACATTCCACCCATCAAAGCACACGGGAACAAATGGAAAGAGTGGGAAGAGTGGGCTTTACCTTTTACACAGAGCAGAGAATTCTGGGTTGTTTCCTTCTCAACTCCTTCCGGCTTGGGTAGGATGAAGGAAAACAAGAGATGTGAAAAGTTAGTGAGACAGGAAATACAGACAGACAGGAATCCTTAACAAGGACAGAGAGATAAATAGAAAGAAAACTGAGGGAACTGAAGAAGGAGAAGCAGTCACAAACATTCTCTGAAATACAGAGCTCTGAAATAATAATCTAAGCAAATAAAAGAGATATGATCCTAAATGACTGGTGGTGTGTGTGGAGCAAGGACATGAAAAGGAGAGGAGAACACTGCAGGACTATCATATGGATGACCTGTAACTATTTTATGCAGTGAGAAACACTTAACATCCTTGTAACAAAAGGACTGAAGGATTACAGAGCTGTCCTGAAGAGATGTCTGCAGTGCTGCTTACCATGATGCTTTAGATGCTTTAGGGGAAAAAAAATGTGTATGTCAATAGTAGAAAGGGAAGATGTTGTACACTGTAATATCTGATGCCACTACCGGTAGCATGCAACATAGTGGGCCAACATTAGGGAATATTATGATACAGAGAAAATCTAAGAACATAGAATCTACCTACCAGTTTAGCACACTCAGTGTATAATAAACTATAAATTTTGTATAAAGGATATCCAGTAATGCCCCATAATATTTCCTTGTGTACCATATCACATTACCAACTCTTCTTGCCACAGGAAATGGATAAGCTGTAAAATTTTAACATGTTTTCATAGACTTTTGCAATAGCTGGATTTTTGAGGGGTCTTCTTTACAGTCATCAAATTTCCATACGTGCTTGTGAATCCCCCACTTTCATCCTCGTGCCAGACTATGTTGTCAAATCAGAACTTCAAAACACTCAGCTTGAAGCAGTTTGCTGAGCCACTCAGCTGGCTGAGACGCAGCATGTGCTGACTGGCCCATGCTTACTGAGGGTATCTCAAAAAAAGGAGAGAGGCTATAAAAAGGGTGTATTGGAATATGAGCCAAAGGGAAGGATGGATTGGAGTAGAAGGCCTGTTATTATAAGAGATAGGGAAAGTTTAGTGTACCAGGAGACCCAATGCACATGATTAAGCTGCAGTCTTTATGCCACCCTGCCAAAGCATAAAGATGATATAACTCCATTGTATTGCCATTCTGCATAGTGACCTCATAAAATTATAGACCAGGCCAGATTAGAAGGGTTCTCAAAAGGTCATCTGGTCCAACCTTTAATGAGAAAGGGACCTTAGATGAGACTATCTAGCATCCTGTCCAATTGTATCCCAGCATTTGCAGTTACCCAGATGAAAGCTCAGCGCTGCCTTCCAACAGCCCACATACCTCTACCAGCAGCTGCCTGATGACTGTGTCCTTCCGTCCCTTCTCAGGGGTCTCCACAATGTAGTTCCCACAGGGCTGCTGGTTCTGAAGGGCCTCGGTGCTCACTGAGAACTCCACCTGCCCTGGAGGAAACAGGGATCAGTCAGCACTGCCAGGCAGAGCCAGGCAAGGGGAGTCACTGCCACTTCCAGGAGGTTCAACATGCAGGCTCATGGATGGGGATTTCTGTCACATTTAGGCCTTGTTTCTTCCCCACAAAAACACAGCTCTCTATACTAGAAGCCATCCTGGAGCAGATGAGCTGCACTGTCATTGAAAGGTGACTCTGGTCACTCTCTTCCAGAAGCTAGGACAGTGTTGAGAATGACCAGCCCCACTGCTGTCCGGCACTCTGCTACCCTGCGTGCAACACCACAGCTGCTACCACAACACTTAATAACAATGAAAACAAAATATGAAGATCCCAAGGGGTACACATCTAATCTCTGAGAGGAATGGAGCTAATACAGTATGTCTGCTGCCCAGCCAATGTCTCTGGCTTCAGGAGATGCTGTCCAAGGGCGATAAGGCTTGATGGTACTGCATGTGGTGCCAGACACAGCCTTGGACACTATAAATCTGCCAGTGTTTACCTCCCAGATAACCCCAGATCAGACAGACTCAACTGAAATGCTTTCCAGGAAAATGTGTTGGTCTAACACCCAATAGTGAACAGCAAGAACAGCACAGAGAAAACCTTCCTGCAGTTTTTAGCACCCTGAGGCCTTTACCTAGAGATTTTGGAGTAACCAGCCAAGCCACGGTTTTCCTCCCATTCTCACAAAGACAGTGAGATACTTCATCCTTTTCCACTGGAATAGCCAGGAAATGAGTAGACTGAGCCAGAGTCACACTGACCTGTCAATTGCAGAGAGAAGTGCAATCAGGGAAGGATGACCCTGAGAGAGAGGAAATAGGAAGCCATAGAAATAGCTGTTTCTTCAGTAGCAAAAGGAGCAGGGAACTGAAGTTGTGGGTTCTGCATTTGGAATATATAGGAGAAATAGAGTAAGAATTTCTGGGGGGAAGCGTCTAGGTCTACTGAGAGATAAGAAAGCTAGGTAGAAGGCAAGAGGTGCGCAAGAAGGTACACAGGTACAGAGGTCTTTAAGCTCCCTTACCCTGATGCAGGTGGTCAGGTAGTTGAAAACGGTGGCTTTTAGCGTGAAGGATTCCCCACGCACTACAGAGTAGGGCATGGTGAGCTCAACAAAGAAGGGCTGGAAGGCCCTGAGGGACACTGTCGGAGACAGGCCAAAGCCTGTGTCTGCTGAAGTGCAGAATGCACTGGCTTTCCACTCGGTGATGGTGTCAGGGATGGTCACATCCAGATCAGCATTTCCCTCAGAGCTGATGAAGCACAGAAGCAAGGAGAGAGGGATGATTTTTATGGCATTTTGTTGACAAGCTGTACTTGTTTTGGCCTACGAGAATAGTATTGTCTGTGTGAATTATGGGGCACAGTATGTTTGCTACTATAGGACCACTCTAGATCTTCTTTCAGTTCACTCCCTGGAAAAACCTAACCATGGCCGAAAGTAATTGCATCTCAGAGGGTTGCCAAGTGATCTCTGCAAACAGTGAAGGACTCTGTGGTATTGAAAAGGCTGTCAAACACTTTGGGATTCATGTTTTCACCTTATAAACCCAGTTTTATTTAAAAGGAATGAACTAGCCCAAGGTACTCACCTTATAGGTACTAAACTCCAAATCCAGGTTTCTGGGAAATACTTTCGGACTGTCTCTGTCACCACTGCAGGACTGCTTGATGTCTCATAAATTGTATCTCCCAGAAGGCCTGAATGTCATGAGATGGAAAAAAAATCAACTACTGATAACTCCAAACAAGTAAGAC